CCTGTCAGATACAGGCAGCTGAGTGGGGCTGCACAGATGACAAGAGGGATGCATCGGTGGAGAGAGCGCTGAGGCTGCACCCCTGCCTGTCAGATCAGCCTCTTTATGCAGATTTCATCTGAAAAAGGGAATCTATTGCCAAAAAGCTTTAAATCAATGTATCCATGACTGCTAAGGTTTTCATCATTACATTCAAATTCTGAGAATTTCAAGGATAAATGAAAGGATTAACACAACTGCAGAAAATGAGAAACTGGAAGCAGCTTTCAAAACTGATGAGATATTGGAGCTAGGGAGATGGCTCAGTGGTCTGAGCACCTGCTTGGCAAGTGCAAGGATCCAGGTTTGATCCCTGATACCACATGCCATGATGGCCACCAAAATCAGTTGTACACCTATATTCCCAGCACTGGGAAGGCTGAGATAGGAGGATCACTATGAGTATGAGTTGCATAGTGAGACTCTGTACCAAATAAATAAAGATTTAAAAAACTGATGAGATATCAATGAAAAGAAAGGAATCAGCACATATTTCTATTTGAGAAGCTTTACTTCCTAAAATTTAAGGACAAAGCAGTGAAATCAAATAATAGGGGATACAAAGAAAGGGATAAGGGAACCATGATTAAAGATAAGTTCAATCATCATGAGAAAAATATACCCCTCAAAGATGTAGTCTAGCATAAAAAGCTACAAGGTTCTCTTTAGAGACATTTAGTTCAAAAATAAAAGACGAAGAAGTTCATCCCCTATTTGTCATCTTTTTTATAAACTAGACTTGCTTTACTTTCAACTAGTCAGACAGACAAATACAGACATACAGACCAGGAACACAGAGGAACATCATTGTGTGGAATTGTTCCTAGAGGAAATGTCTGTGACATAGCATTACTTTCCAGGAGGAGCAATATGGGGTGGACAATGGTAGGCAAAATGTACAAAATTGGTTGAAGTTCATAAAGTTCAGTTACTTTTCTATCACCTCAGTTTCTTGGACTGACACATTTGAGCTTGACAGTGGGTACAAGTCCATTACCTAAACTCTTTCAATGAGAAGAATCTGTCCTAGAACTTAAATGAAGAGAAATTAACCCAAATAGTATAGACACTAGAGAATTCTTTAGAAGATGGTAAAGTTTTAAGCTACCTGGAGTCTCCAGGGACAGTACAGAAAGCTGTACCATGTAGGCCTCTGTGTCTAAGATCATCAGTGTGAGTGGAGCAATTTGTGCCTACTAGGAGTCAGGAATGACTGACGGAGACCACTACAAAGCAGCTTTGGGAAGAATTTAAAATTAATTAATGGGCTTTCTATGTTTAATTATGAGTCTGTCCCAGGCCTAGGCCCCTTGACTGGAGATGGGCAGCAAATTCACAGTCAGTGAAGCGCTATGAATCACTGGTTTCAACTGAGGCCTGTGGGTGCCTGGGAGGCCATCATTCCTCAAAGGACAAGATAAGGCCTCACGCAAAGACACCTAGAGACTGTAACTGAGGCATACTGATCCTGCAGGGAATGCCAACCTAGAGATAAGACAGTACTTTACATAATTTACTACTTAGAAAAGTCTTTGTCCTAACTCCCAAGGTCAGATCATATAAAGAATTATTACAACTCATGGTCATTAGTCATTAAGTAATGCAAATTGAAATCAAAGTGAGATATCATTTTATAACAAGTAGGATAGCTAATAAAAAAACTTGTATGGCTTTATATCTAGATATTCCCCCAAAGCTTCATCCACTCATAGGTGAGGATCTTGGGAGCATCTGGATTATGTATGTGAGATACTAGGTCATGGGTGTGTGACACTGGATTGGTTGACTGATTGGTCTAGTATGGTTCTGGTTGTAGGCTTATTGTTGAAGAAAGATACATGCTAAATTGAGTTGGTATCAGTCAATAGGCTTGTAGTGTGGTAAACTAAAAAAGAGAAAGAAGGTAGCCTTGCCAATTCCTGCCTGGCATGCCATAAACTGTTTGTTCTCTGCCCTGCCTTGGGGCTATGGATTTAAACCTCTACAAATTATGAGTGAAAGTAAATCTTTCTTTCTTTAATTTGTGAATAGAATGTATTTTGTCACAGTGTCATGGGTTTGGGTTTTTCCAAGAGGAACAATATAATTTAGGACACATTTTATAGTAGTATTTTATAATCAATTACCCAAGAGTAATATACAACAAGTGCAGGAAATCTGTCCACACACATAAACACTAAAGACTCCAGCTGAGGGCCTGGATCCTAATATCCTGCATGAGTCCATATGAAAACCTAGAGCTCATCACAATGCCTCCTACAAGTCCAGCTGGAGGCCTAGAGCCCACAGCAAACTCTTATGTAGGCCCGCTTCATGGATCTGTGCTGGAGAGGCCCAATGGTCAGTGATCGAAGCTAGAAAGTCTATGCCAGCAGGATGAGTGATCTGTGCTAGCAGGCTGGGGGATCTGAACTGGAGCTAGGAAGCAATGCTCAAGGTAAACACCAGACCTCCCCCAAAAGTACCACAGCCATCCTCAGCAACAGTGAGTTCCTGAGCTCCTCCAGCGATGAGGAAAGCCAAGTTTCCATCAGGAAAGCCAATGTGACAAGCTTCTTCATGAGGCTGAGCAGTGCACCATCTTCCCCTCCAGAGCTAGAAAGCAGTGCTCAAGACGAGGACCAGAGCTCCTCCAAATTTCATTGGGAAAGTCAGCTTGACAAGGTCCTCCAGCAGAACAGCCCAAGAGAACTAGCAGCTTCCACCAGGTCCAACAGTTTCTTCAAACAGCTTCTCCAACTGTGCCTTTTATGCTGCTGGCAATACTGTTCGGGTGGGCCTCCCACACCCAGCACCATGCTAGTTCAATTCAGTTGAGTGTAAGAAGTTGACCACCAGTTAGCTATCCACCACACACAGTGATGGGAAAGTAACTGAGACCATATCAACTGTGAAAAAATTGAGATTCTCAGATAGTGCTTATAGGAACATAAAATGGAACAGTCATTTTGGGAAATTGTTTAGCAGTTACTCCAATGTGAAATACAGAGTTCTCACGTGATTCGAAAAGCTACCTCTGGATATTTTCCTTTCTTTCACACTAATATTCACACTGACCAAAAGTCCGTAAGGGACAAAAGGCAGAAATTACCTTTTATAATAATACAAATATCCATGTATTGATAAATGAGCAAGTTAAATGTGACAGATCTGTATAATGGATTATTATTTGACAATAACAGGAAATTTGTTCTTTAGGTCTGAAATGTCCCCCACATGTTGAAGGCGTGGCCCCTAACCACTGTGCAACTTCTGAATTTGTGAGCCCAAATAAACTTTTTTATTAAGTTGCTTTTGTGAAGTGTTTTCATATGAGGGAAATCTGACTAATATAGGAACAAAATATTACATTATGCTAATTAAAAGGAGCCAGACATAAAAGGCCTCATATTGTATGATTTCCATTTAAATGAAGCTTCAAAAATAAGCAAATATATAGGGACCAAAGGTAGACTTATGGTTTCCTAGGAAAGAGAAAATGGATGGCACAGAGAAGTGCTATTGAGTGCTGTTTATTTTTTAATCTTTTATTCATTTATTTACTTGGCATAGGGTCTCGCTACTTAGCTCGGATTCATAGTGATCCTCCTGTCTCAACCTCCCCAGCACTGGGATTACAGGTGTGCACCACCACACCCACTTTCAGTGGCTGCCTTGGTGCCTGTGGAAGCACAGCATGCAGCACCGGGGATCCAATCTGGGTCCTTGCGCTTGCATGGCAGGCCCTTAGACTGCTGAGCTACCTCCCCATCCCCAGTTTTTTTTTTTCTTGAAACTATGAAAATATCTTAATATTTGATTACAGGATGCCAAATCCTATAATGAACTAAAAGCTATTGTATTTTATAATTAAAACAGGAAAATCTTATGACCTATAAATTATATTTCATTACAATTTATAAAATCCAATATAAAATTTTTATGACTTTATACCTTAAATCTCAAATTTTTAAATGACTTGAGATATAATTCACATACTATACAATTCATCTGTCTAGCACTTTTAAGATATTCATAGAGTTGTGCCACCATAACCACAATCTAGTTTTACTTTCAAATTTTACTTCATTAGTACATGTGTAGAGTACCAACTGTTTGCATTCCTTGGCCCATGTACATAATGTATTTTAATTCCTCCTTGGATTCCCCACACCCTTCCCTCCCCCTCCACCTATCCCTCTCTTCCTGCCCCCTACCTTTTGTTGGTTTAGGTTTTCGTTACATGTCTATATTCCTGTGGGAAATTTGTATATTAACATAACACATCCCAATTCATTTTTCTAGTCCCTATACCTCTCCTCTCTCCCTCCTTCCAGCTCTTGATCCGCTTTCCCTCTGAAAAAGAACCAGCTTCCAATGACCTATTACCTAGCTTTCATTTTGCTCATTTGTACTCTAGGTTTCTCATGTAAGTGAAGCCACGTGACACAAATGTGTGCGTGTCATTTTTTTACTTAATATTAAGGTCTCAAAGTGCATCCAATTTCCTACAAATGACTCTTTCATTTTTCTTTTTTGCAGAGTAGTAGTCTATTGTTATAAAGGCCATATTTTATCTATTTATTTGTTGATGGACATAGAGACGACTTGCAAGATGTCAATGCATTTGCTATAAACATAGGTACACAAGTGTCACAGTAATATGATGTTTTTAACTGTTTCAGGAAGATGGATGGGGAATAGTTGGGTGAAATGGATAGTCTAGTTTTAAAACATTTAATTAGAAACAACTTTTATGAACATGTATGCCAGCCTTAAGTTTCGGTGCATTTTACCTATCTATTGGTTCTTCCGAAGTGCCTTTCAGCGCTGTTAACCTCTTCCTGGGTCCAAGCAGGCAGACCACCCCTGATCTCGCGAGTTTTCTGAGCTGCGCTGCGCTCGGAGGCCGGCCGCCCACAGACTTCCGGCCGCGGTGCGCATGCGCCTCCTCCGCCGCACCTGCGCGTGCGCACTCCGTGACCGCCGCAGAATTCAGTCCGCTGCCGCGCTAGCCGTGTAGCCGTCGGGGGCGCTCGCCGCTATGGCGGAGGGCAGCGGGGAAGTGGTCGCCCTGCCGGCGTCCGGGGCCGCCAACGGCCTCAGCAACGGGGCGGGCGGGACCTCGGCGCAGCCCAACAACCCGCTGTCGCGCAAGCTCCATAAGATCCTGGAGACGCGTCTGGACAACGACAAGGTAACCTGGCGGGCGGGCGGCCGCGAGTATCCCGCGCTTCGCTGCCTCCGCGCGGGGCCCCTAGTACCCCGCACCGCGCCGGGAGCGGGACGCAGGAGCCCCGGACGCCGGGGGCCTCCGCCTTTGGAGGTCTGAGCGGGAGGCCGACCCCGGGGACCTCGGAGGGGACGCGGGGGGCGGGCGCGGGCGCGGGAGCCGCACCCGGACGGCCGGCGGCCGAGGCCACGGAGGAACGCGGATCGCCCAGGCGCTGTGTGGTCTGTGGGCGCATCCTGCCTTTCTCCACGAGACAGTATCCACGCGCGCTCCCAAATTCCTACTGGATAAGAGAAACGTGGGCTGCGCCGCCCACCTCCACCCGCCGGGTTAAACTGGCCACGCCAGCGTGGCACGCAGAGAAGGGCACGCAAGCCTGAACTTACAGTTAAATATGTAGGTAACACAAGCTGTCAGTAATAATTTCACTCGCGTGTGTGTGTGAAAAACAAATACAAAAACAACTTTACACTGTCATGAGGAAGAAGGGCTCCTTGGCTAGCATTCATGGTTGTCTGTTACCACCAAATTTGCTCATTATGATCGGAGGCAGTCCCTTCTCTAAGTTTGTGTTTAGGAATTAAGAATTTTGGTTGCGAGGACTCAGAATTCAAGAGATAGTCTTAATAGAGTGCTCAGCACTTGCTGTTTCTTAACAAATGCAGTTTTTATTATACAGTTTGTATCTAATGTTGATATTATCTCATTTAATAGGACTACTCTGATGTACATAACATTATCTCCTTTTTACCTAGAAGACAAGGCACAGAAAAAGTAGAGCTAACTTGTCATTTAACTAGTAACTGCTGTTGTTCAGTCATCCAGACCTAGAAGTTTTCAAGGCTAATCAAAAGAAACTGCTTCATTTATGTGTGTGTGTGTGTGTGTGTGTGTGTGTGTACAAGTATTTGTAATTGTAAACATATGTTCAGTCCTAAATATTAAACTGAATTTATTTAAAGAGCTTACTGTTTTTATCTATCCAGCCAGTATTTTAATTTAATATTGTAAAAGAAAGATCAAAGGGCAGGCGTGTTAGAGTATACATTCCTTTGGGTACACGATTTACATCTGGAGAGTTTTAGGAACTTTGGGGATACCCCAGGCTTGATTCTGCCCTCTTTTTTAGGGATGCTTTACTTTCATTGTTGTGAATAGCAAAAAGTGTGACAACTTTCTTACCCCATGCCTGACGTCTGTATCCAGGCTGCAAGTTTTAGAATTAGTTGTCAATATTATGTCTCCAGTTGGGTACCATATTGACATCATAGCAGTTGGATGTGGGCAGAGCCCTTGGATTTCCCTGCGTCTGGTTCCAGTCTCGCTGTTCATATGACCTTGTGTCGGTGCCATTGTGTAACTGAGCATACCCCCTTGTTGCCTGCAAGAATACTTTTATTACTCCGTAATTTGAAGGTCATTTTTGGATTGTTTCATGGAAACATTATTTGAAAATGACTTTATTATACTTGGGTTGAGATTAGTATATGTGCTGCCGAAGTGAGCACTTGGGTTGAGATTAGGAAACTTTATAAATCAGTATCAGTAATCTTCTTCCTTTGCTAATTGTATAGGAGATGCTGGAGGCTCTCAAGGCACTTTCAACCTTTTTTGTTGAAAATAGTTTGCGGACTCGAAGAAATTTACGCGGAGATATTGAACGCAGAAGCTTGGCCATCAATGAAGAATTTGTGAGCATTTTCAAGGAAGTGAAGGAGGTGTGTGTATGCATTATATATAGCACTTATTGAGAGCTGTGTGCTTAGCTCAGTGCTGTTTCTGAATGAGCCTGGTAGGTTTGGTGTTGATTTACTATGTTCAAACAGAAAACAACTTAGTATATGCCATATATTTTCAGTCACAATTTCGTAACCACAATTTGTCCTCATGGTTGGTCTTAGCCCTGCTTGACTGCTTTAATATCCCTTACTCTAATTGGCCTGTCCCATCGTAAAACTGTGGTGTTTCTATTTGAAGCTCTGGTTTTTTTTGTTCTTTGTTTTTTTTTTTTTGTTTTTTTTTTTTTGTTTTTTAACGTATTTAGTACAGGGTCTACAGGGTCTCACTACACAGATCAGATTCATAGTGATTCTTGTTTTTCAGCCTCCCAAGTGCTGGGATTATAGGCGCATGCCCCCATGCCCAGCCTCAATTGCTGACTCAGTGCACCCCCCGGGAGCAGGGCCAGCATGGCACACCAGGGACTGAACCCCCGTCCCTGCGTCTGCCTAAGCAAGCACATTAATCTGCTGAGCTTTCTGGGCAGCCCTGAAGTGCTGGGTTTTATGCTGACAGGGACTGCTGGAGAACCCTATCTACCATCAGAACTTCTTTCTTGTATATTTATATGTAGTGAAATACTGAACTGAATAGGGTACAACTAAGTGTAATTCTGTGTTATGATCGTATCATTATAGTGAGGTATTGGCAAAGTAAAGAGTAGAGTATTGATTTTAAAAGGGCTGAGTGTATAGCCTGGGACTCGTTGGAAAACAATGTTTTAATCCATATAAGAGATAGTGATAGACCTGAACTAAAGTATGTAATGGCCGTTTGAGTAGTAAAAAAGATGTAAATAAAGATGTGTACATTAAGGGAACGTAAGTCTTAGTATTTAGAGGCTAAATACACACTGCTGTGGAGAGAACTGGAAGTGAAAGTACACAGAATGTTATCAGGAGAACTATCATATTTTTGTCATAATCTACCAGTAGTGTTGTTAATTTTCAACAAAATTAGGAATTATTGTTAATGTATTGGATTTTCAAATTTGTTAGTTTTTATTAATTTAAATTCTAGTGAATTCATAGTAAAACAAAGTAAGTCAGAAATAGAATACTTAGGATCCAAGCACCCAGAATTAAAAATATTAACTGTCTTATGTTGTATGGCCTTCCCTGTGTCATTCTGAACATAAATGTGTGTATTTCTAAAAAGTGGGAGGATACCTTATGTATAATTTTCTTATATTTTTATCATATATAGAAATCTTTTCATAAGCGTGTGTACATCTTTATTGTCCATACATAGTCAGAAATGTTTTATGTTTTCATTTGTTTTAGCCAGCTCTGCATTGATCATCCTCATGTATATTATTGTATACTGCTGCATACTTAACTGGGTAGTTCTAATTTTTTTTTTTTTTAAGTTAACAGGTAAGTTATATCACTTATCCTGTGCAACATAATGCCTTAAGGTATGCGTAAATTATGAATGGTTAAGTTATTAGCATATTTATTGCCTTATATAGATATCATTTTTGTGGTCATAGTATAACTTTTAAGTATTAAAATTTCTGTATGAAGAAATAGTGGTGTTTTCTTATGCCCCTGAAAAAAATGTTATAAAGGTTTGCTTATACCTTTTTTTGTGGTACTGGGGATTAAACTCAGGACCCTGCACTTGCCAGGCTGCTTATACCTTTTTAATATGACATATTCTTTCTAGTTCCTCCAGCTTTAGGTTTGGTATCTATTGACATGCCGTGATCAAAAAAAATTATGGAACTAAAAGATTTCGCTAAGAGAAAAGAAATTTATCAGCATATACTATGTTTGATTATTTTTCTCTTTTCAGGAGCTTGAAAGCATAAATGAAGATGTTCAAGCAATGAGCAGCTGTTGCCAAGATATGACAAGCCGCCTGCAGGTACTGTGTAATTCATTAGGGTTCCCGGTTCACAGTCTGTTTCCAGAAGTTGAGGGGCGGGGAGATGGCTCAGTAGAATAAGCACTGGCAAATGCAAGGACTTGAATTCAAGCCCCCTTTCCAGAAAAAAAAAAAGTTGTTAGGTGGGTCTGTAAAATACATAGATGTTTGATATATCACAACCTGTAGGAAGTTTGAATATAATTACTATGGGAGTTTTTTGTTTTTAAGTTTTTTGTTTTTTTGTATTTTTTAAGATGGGGTCTCACATCTGTTCGAGTACTTAGTAATTTAGTGACTTGAAATCATAACAGTAGCCATTTGTATATCAACTTTAGCTTAATGTTTTAAATTTATTCTTAAAAGTATTTCTTAAATTATTTTCCATCCTCATTTGAGGATATTGAAATATTAATGTACTTACCATTCTGTAAAATATATTAAACATGGGGCATTAAAAATTACTATTATGAGATAACATTTGAAAATTTAGTAATTTTATGTGTGCTATAGTTTATCTCTTTAGCTATGCTTTTGCTTATATAAACTTAGAGGCATATTTATTATTTAATGAAAGCTAATTATGCTTACCATTGTGACAAATTAACTGGAAAGCATTTTAGGATGTTTGTGTATCTTTGGATGATGGTTTATTAATATAAGCCAGTGAGCTCCAGAAGCCTCTATATTTTGGTCTAGCTGAGTACTGAGCTGACTGTGTAGAATTTGCACAAACATTTCAATTCTGTACCATCCCAGAAGATCAGCAGCAATGAATTCTTTAGCAGAGTGCCTTGGGAGTATGTTCAAACTAAGGCTGTGTTTGCAAAGATCTAGCTTAATTCTCTTACATGCTTAGCCTAAAACATACATCATACTGGGTCTGTTTATTTAAGCATACCTAAACCTTTAGTTTGACTTGGGAGAATCTGCGTGCAACCTCATTCAATAATTTTTGAACAGGAATAAAAAACAGCCTTCTCCTAAGAATCAGTCATAATGATGTCTGCTACCTTAACGTTTTAATTCCAAGTTTCTATTTCTGAGATTCTTCTGGATCCACCAATGACAGTTGGCTATGGGAAGTGTCATTGATCTGTGTACTCTTTAAATTAATTGTAGGCTACTTGTGTGATCTATCCATAGGACCAGTTATTTTCCTGTATCTCTGCAATTTTATTTTATTTTTTTGCATTTTGAAAGTTACTGATATATCACTTTTTGGGGCATGTATATGGTCTTTTAGTCCAGTTTTTATTTATTTATTTTCCCATAATTTTATTGAGAGACAAATAGCAATGAGACAGTTTCAAATTAAATTGGTAGGATAGTTTCATTAATTAACACATCGCATACTGTCTTCCTAGTGGTTATTTGCTGTACAAGATGCAGACATGATATCCTATTTACAAACACTATGACATCAAATCCCTCTATTCATTAAGACAATGTAACTATGTATCTATTCTAACCATTTTGAATACACAGATACAAAATGAACATTTATTTCTATATCCCCTTTTTGTTTAGTTCCGTCTTTTGAATATTATAGGTGTGTTAACTCAGCAAAATATTCTAAAAGAGTCCAGTAATTCATAATACTATTCGGTTTTCCACTTGACTGGCAGTGTTAGAAATTGTTGACCTGGGTCTCCTACAGCTCGACATAACAACATAGCTTTACTTCTTATACTTCGTTTTTATACTTTTTTGCTGGATGGTTAAGAACAAGATAAAGCAAGACCTATGCAAGAAGAGTTGTAGCTTTTGGATCTGATAAGATCATTGAAATCCCCTCAGGAATTATCTTGACATCCTGTACCTCAGATTGTAGATCCTTTGTCAGTGTCAGCCGTGTGGATGAGTTATGGCCATTGCTTGGCCAGTGTGCTCTCTGTGAAAGCCTGAGAGAATGTTTTCTTTCCATGTGACTCTCCTTAAGCACACTCTACATCATCTATCACTTTCCTCTTTGGCCCCATAATCTCCTTGATCTGAAAATTTGGGGCACAAATGAGTTACATGACGTTTTAGTACAAGTTCTCATATGTCCTGAGTCTTAATTGACCTTGGAAGGCTAGGGCCAAAATGTTGACTTTCCTTGCAGCCCTCCTTTTTCTCTAATTTTGGTCTGCAAACTTAGGTTGTTAACCCTCCAGAAGACAAGCTTATTGTTACTACCATACAACCTAGGATGTTAAGCTTAACTTCATTGTGTGTCTGAATATTAAACATCTTGGGCATAACATGGAACAGGTATTTTTCATCAAGTATTGATATGTTGAACTTTAAGTCCTTACAGAATATGATGAAAAAACATTTTAAAGATTAAAATATATTTTAAAAATAGGCATAAAGAATTATATAATTCTTACGTTTACACATAAGTCCAAAAATCGAACCATATACAGCCTTGTAGCAGGACAGTCCCACAATATTCCTGTTCCTGTCTCCTGCCTTCATTCGCCACCCCCTTCTTTTTGAACAGTCATCTACCCGAGAGACAGTATGGCAGCAATGGGCATGTCATGACAAGCAGCGCAAATTCAGAAGACCAGAATGACAGGCACTCCAAGCACGAACCTAGTATTACAAATTGCCATCTTCAGTGCAGTTGCTTAGTTCACATGTGTCTGTATATATAGTTAGTCAGGGTGAGAATCTTTCCAATTAACTGCTAGATTCAAAAATCTTCTGAATATTCTCAGGATCATTGCCGTACCCATCTTCTACATATAACTGTATGGCTTGTCACTGTCATGTTTCCTAGCTCTTCTCCTTTCCCTCTCTTAATTGGTTAGTCCTCAAGATCCTCCTTTCCTTTTACTTGTATTATACCTTTCTATTTGTATTTCCTCTTTTGAGTTCTTACACTAGGGAAACTATACGATATTTACACATGTGTGTCTGGTTTATTTCACTTATGAGTATATGTTCAAGTGGCATCCATTTCAATATAAAGGCTTTGAGTCTATCATTCTTTATAGCTGAGTAATACTCCATTGTATAAAAGTAGCACATCTTTTTCATCCATTCCTCAGGTGATGGGCATCTTGGTTGTTTCCAAGATTTGGCTATCACAAATTGTGCTGCTATAAACATAGGCACACAT